GCACTACTGCATGGGTCGTTATTCATAAAGAATGTTTTTAACGTTTTATAAGGTTTTTAACAGATAAATAATTTCACCAAAGAATCTGCTCTCCGTTATTAGTTTTCTTCAGATTTGATTCATTTTATTTAAGAGAAGTCAACAGATAAAGGGCAGCAAAAAGAAATAGAGGAAAGAGGAAACTATCAAGAAAAAGTGATGGGAATCCTTAATATTAAAAACATTTATGGGAAATAAGATTGATGTCCTTATCTCCCCTCTTTTTCTACCAAGCCCGCTTGCTCAAACGATTCATTCTTACTTCGGGGAAAACAAGTGATAAAATGCAGTAAATGTAGAAAAGAAGGACACGAACAAGAGAAGAGGGACGGGAGTCTTTAATATCAAAATAATATCAAATTTTCCATGTGGCCTTCTGGTTTCGGACCTTAAGTCCTCTCTGTGTCTGTCTGTAAGACAAGAAAAGTTAATGCGCACATTTCTAAAGAATCACATTTGAAAGAAAATGCTGTCAAACGCATATTATTTACACTCGTAAATACTGTACAGAATCATCTCTCAAAAATACGCTTACAGAAGGGCATTTTAAATTTTTATTCTCAATAAATTAAAGTTTTTTTTAATAAGTAACATTTTTATTTAATTAATACTGTCCATATATTTAAATTCAAAACTAATGAAAGTGAATTATATTGTGTAGAATATTTACAAAAAAATCATTCATATGTTCAAAGTCTAAAACATAAAGGTTAAGCAAACAAAACATGATCGACGCAAACTTTTTGAAATATATATTTTGCATGCTGTAATAGGATTTTAATAGTATAACACTGGAACTATAATTGGCTTTTCATGCATGTTAGATTTTCAATTTAAAAACTTGTTATTTGTATTATATTAAAGAAAATTTAAAAACTAGTTGTTGATCAATTTAAAAAGACAGAACTACATTACCAGCCAATAGGCACAATCTAAGGATCGACCTGAAAAAAATTTAACACAGACCCATTTATAGATAACGAGCTGCTTTCTCTCAACTTAATTAGTACCACCAGCGTGTACGCTGGCGGTACTCATGGTTTTAGTCCCGACCTGTCTCGTCCGGATCCGCCAGCTCCGCCGGCTCCGCGTACTGGCGCCGGATACAAGTCACCGTTACTGCTTCTCCTCCTAGACCGCAAGGACCCCTGTCCCCATCTCTTGGATTAAGGTCACATATAACCTCAACTTTAACCCCCAGTTTTTTTTTGTCTCAGTCGGTGCATTGACCTGGGCATGACGCTCGTTGAAATGCACCCATATCAAAATTTTTGAAAATTCAATGCCAATTATCTACCCTACAGAAGGAATTATGGGAAAAATTTCTACAGACGGCTTTCCAAAAGACATATGTGTAGATTTCAAATATGCCCTTGGATTTGACCTTTGACCTTCATTTCAAGGTCAAACAGCCAAAATTTTCAAAAAACGACATTTTTTTTACAAAAAATTAGTTATTTGCGCTGTTATTCAGACTTAACCAATAATATTATTGGAAAGTGTTACCCTTTGGATCATCTTTCATCTCCATGAATTTGGGGTCAATCAGTGCATTTTCACAGGAGTAGCGACCATAAGATACCGAAACTGAAAACTGTCTCTAATTCGGGAACCGTTAATGCTAGAGACCCATTCTTTCTTGCATTTTGTAGAGCTTGTAAAGCCCTAATTTAAGGTGGTCTCCATTTTTTTTGTATTTCATACAGTTTTCGTGTTATGCTGTATTAAAAAGTACATTGTGGTGGCACATTATTGTAACTCAGAATTGTAACATTTAGTCCCATATATGTCCAAAACTGGCAGAGATAGGTCAATAGTTATTATTTAAGTTGAATAGGAAGTCATTTACTGGCAATCTAAATGTGACCTTGAAATTGACCTTTGACCTACCTTTCACCATGAACTGAACTTTGCAAATTTTTGTTCCCTTTTATCTCCAAAACTGGCAGAAATAGGTCAGTAGTTACTATTAAACTTGAATAGGAAGTCATATACTGGCAATCTGAGTGTGACCTTGAAATTGACCTTTGACCTACTTTTCATTATGAATTGAACTTTGTAAAATTTGGTTTCCTTTTATCTCCAAAACTGGCAGAGATATGCCCATAGTTGCTATTGAATTTGAATAGAAAGTCATTAGAGGCAATTTACTGTGACCTTAAAATTGACTTTTGACCTACTTTTTTATGATGAACTGAATTTTGATTGTACCATTTTTGGTTATATAAAAATATTTTTTTTGCATATTTTGAGAATTTTTGTTGATTGCAATTTATAGAGCTTGTCAAGCATAAGACTGGTGGTGGTGTCTCTTTTTTTTTTTGGGGGGGGGGGTCCATATGAATGCGCTTGCTCCAGCTGGTGGTACTGTATCAGGAGGCGATATCGCCTGTGATCTTCTAGTTACATTATTCATTCATTTCACTATTCATTTGAAAAGAGCATCTTGCTTGTATAAAGAAGCAATGAATTAGAATGTTGTTATTACTGCAATTTTACAAAATTATATTTCTACGTTGAACCACTCCAGGACATAAATAGATCCCACTTATAAATAACTCAGTGCACAGCAGCTTGAGCGCTTTGTGGGGTATCAGCCTGCGACAAGCAAAGTTTAAATTTGTATGAATGTATTTTTTAATGATATCGTATTTCAAAAAGGCATCACTTTCACAGAGTCCTTTTTCACATGGCTGTCGACCTGCCTCCCTCTACAAATAAAATTCAAGATGGCGCACGTGCAGTGACAGGCCCGTATGGCTTGACAGAATAAGTTGACTGAATAATACGCGAAAAACTTTCAAATGAGATCAGCATATAATGTCACGATAAAAGACGTTAAAGAAGCGAATAAACAGATAATCTTCACAACGTCTGAAGTAGTTTATTTTATTTTTACTCATTACCTCAGACGGCACGCTCCGTGGTTTGTGACCGATACTGCATTACGTCATTTTCAAATTAACGTTGGCCGTTATGTGGGAAAATTGTGGATAGCAGGACAAAAAACTCACAAGTAGAATAAATATTAAATCTTTCAAACAAAACTTTGCAAAGTGAAGAAAACCCCGTTTGCAAGGCAGGAGACAGGACATGCGTCGGCCTAGAGAAAGGAACAGTACCGGCAGATAAGCAACTATGTAATTACGTTGGCTTACAAAAATGATCAATTAGTTGTAGCAGGAATTATAGGCATGACAGTAGCTTTCATTATTATGAGATTACTGGAAGTCAATTAAAGTTCTGCATATTTTACTTTATAGATTCTTTGAAAGAGTTGATATTTTAAGAAACTGAAAATTAAGCACCAGGGGAGGCTTCTAGTTTCACCAAAAAATTTGATAACATTTCGTTAATGAGATAATTGTATTACTCAGTGAGATACAAATTGTAATTTAGCCTTCTAAAAATAGAACTGCACTGGTACTCTGAAATGCAGAAGAATAGTGCCAGCACGATTATTTTTTTCCTGGAAATTTTCCACCCGGCACAATCTTATTTTCCCCAGCACGATTAATAATTTCCCAACATTATCCACACGGCACTATTATTAGGCAGTCATTGTGCCAGTTGGAAATTCTGTTGAAAGTTTTGGAAATGATAATAATCGTTTCATAGGACAAGTTAATTTTTATTAATGACCTGTCGCAAGCACTACTCTAGAACTCGTTTTTTACCGTAAATAAAAGTAGCTCATCAACGCATGCAGCCCGAAGTCTCTGTCATGGCTGTTTTGTTGTGTTGCAAAAAAATTATGTCAACTTGCCACCGATAGTGCACTACTAGTACAATGCTGCCATTGGCACAAAACATTTTTTTAATTCAATTTAGATATTTTATTATGTTTTAAGACCCAAATGAAAATGGCTTATAAAAAGTTTAGTTGACAAACTGGTGACGTATAGGCCATTCACACTAGAACGTTAACAGCAGTCAAGTTTACTCTGATTAAACCGTGGTCAACCAAACGCGTCCAAACCGCGTTCACACTGACACCGGCAGCGATCAGTAGTGGTAGAATCTCAGTAAGCGTACTTCCTCAGGGTTCTCCACAATTCAAAATTATAAGGTGGGGGAGAGGGATTGTGGCGTGGGTCCTAGGAAGTGAGTGCCATAGGCCCTCACCATGCTAGGGGGGTCTGGGGATCTTCTGATCCATGGATCAAATATGGCGGACCCTACACGAAAGAAGAGCCAACTAATACGCTGATGGTCTCCCCACCTCCACACGCGCCATTAAATAGATGAAATCACTGCTTTGAGGTTTAATTGCTAGACCCTGCAAGGATGGTGCGTGTGGAGGCGGAGAGACCATCATCAGTTTGTCAGCTTTCAGAGAGCTTCGTGTGATAGCTAGGCCGTAGTCTCCCCAGGGAGGCTGAGAGTGTCAACACCCAGTCTGTATCAGGGTCAAATGTAGGTCTGTATCGCCAGTCTGTGTCAAGGCCAAAAATGACCAGGCGTTTATTGAATGATTGAAAAACCACATTGAAACACGTGGAATGCCGTATACAAGAACTGAACTTTACTTTACTTTCAGGTGTAAATATCAGAAACCCTTATAGTTTATTGATAGATGAGCATCCCTGCCACACTGACATCTCAAACTTCAGGAAAAATTGAACAGTTTTTGAAAAAATTACGTGACAAACTATTTTTTCATTATGTACATTATTCCTTGTCAGGGTTCTCAGCCTACCTGGAAATCAGGGGAACCTGGAAAAAAGGCTTCCCCCAAATGGCTTTCATCAGGGAAAAATAAGAGATGAATCATAATTTTTTGCTCTTATCGATTGCTGGACATGATTGAGCAAAACTCTATGGATGGATGCTTGTGAATATTTTCGGTTTTTATGTCTTTTTTTTTTTTTTTTTGCTTTAATGGGCCTAGCTGTGAATCTCTGTGGCCATGAGCAATTTTTGACTTTCTAATTCAAACATTCCTTAATATATAATTTCAGAGGCTTTGGAGGAACTGAGTACAAAGCTAGACGAAGATGATGTCTGTACCCTGCATGTTCGTAGGCAACTGGCAATTGGCCAGATTATACAAAAGGTATGAGCACCTAGTGAGCATTATACCTTATAAATTATATAGGAAAAAAGTTGTCTGAAAAAATTCACATTTTCCTTAAACAACATTATGTATGTTAATCATTATTGAATCTAAAACTGTTGCAAAAATGATCATCTATGAACCTGTCACTAAGTTACAAATTTCTACATTTTGTAGTTGGTGTGATAATTCGCTACAAGATATCTCCATCTTTGAGTGCCTTTAACTACCATTAATCACAAGGATATTAAAAATGTGGAAATGACTCATTTTATTTTGGCAGGAAAAGCAAACTAATTAAGGACTGTGATATTAGTTATATGAAGAAAAACAAGACTGGAAAATTATTACTTAAGTTTCTGAAAACGGTCTTAGATTAAGCTCTTAATTACCACCTTCAGAAAAAATTAATTATGTGAAAAAAATTGGTAAGAAACCAAATGTTATGTCGGTCAGTCTTTTTTTTTTCCTTATTTCAGGATCTAGTGCCGATTATCAAATATGTGAAGACAGATCCTATGATTATAGCTGATGCAATTAAGTAAGTATAATATGCATAAAAAAAGCTATTTTATTCTTGTTGATTATAAACTCAAGAAAGGGAAAAACTGGTTAAGTTATTATTCCCAAACTTGCATAAATGATTAATAGCAAATATTGCTGATGTTGAATTGAAATGCTTTTTCTTCATTTAATTTTTCTACCAATAAATCACCCCAAAAGAGGGCAGCACTGACCATAAATCTTAATTAATCATGTGTGGAACTGAATTTCTATTACTTGTTGGTTTTCACAAACCAATGGATGTTATTTAAAATAGAAATATTGTAACTGAAATGTACCTTTGAGTTTCACATTTTCAATATTTTATTTGAAGATGGCAGTCCAAAACCATCCAATTGGGAGGGGGGGGGGGGGGCGTCCCCTTTCCCAATCCTACAATCCAAAATGGCCTTATCACCTTTTAGTCTGAAATTGTCAGGGAAACACTAATATAATGATATACAAACAAAAAAATTTTGTAACACCGGTAGATCTATGGCCCAGCTGGTGCCTCCTCTCTAGCTTTCCTGTATTCTACTCAGTGCCATGTGGAGGCATACTGGTCTGTTTGACTGATTACATTCAGCCAGTGTCTCCCTGGAGTTGGATCGATCCATATAGACCATTAATTTCAATGTGAATGAACCCTATAAGGATGTTTACAGTATGTAACTTAACTTAAGGACATAGCATTAGCAGTAAGAACGAGGGTGGCCATATACGTAGGCGATTCTCACTGACTGCTTCCTCCCAAACTTGACAGTATCAGTAAACACCAGAAAAAAAATGAGACCTCTGTGAAAATGGCTCATTGTACCACCAGCGTTAGCGCTGGCGGCACACATGGTTTTAGTCCCGTCCGGATCGTTCCGCCGGCTCCTGCGGCTCCGCCGGACGGCTACCGTTACCGCTTCTCCTCCTAGACGGTAAGGGCCCCTGTACCCATCTCTTGGTTATAGGTCACCTATAATCTCAACTCGTTCCACGTAAAATTTGGGCTTTGTTGGTTTTGGGGTCTAGGTGTGGC